CCAGGACACTTCTCGGGATGCATGCCAGTCCTCTCACAGTGGGAGAAGATCATGATGACAACAAAGGCCAAGTGCTCACTACACAATGGAGTCAGTGAGGTTGAAAGCAAGCCAGAAGGGTCAAAGGAGAGTCCATTAAGAAAACTCCGTGGTCAAGCACTCCAGACCTGATTTCAGATTGGCCTCCTGACAGTCAGATTTCAGATTCTTCTCCAATTGAGTGAAAAGTTTCATAGGAATTGGAAGATACTTCCGTCTGCTTCCCTAGCAGCAAGAAAACATCCCTGGCTGAGCCCAGGAGCACTACAAAAGGCTATGATGCATGGATCTCAGGATGAATGCTGAAATTTTGTCTCCTCTCTCAGAAATACTTAAGTTTCATAGACCCTTTTACAAAGCAAATAAATGTCAGGGAATATCTATGTTTGAGGCTAAAAATACAAATTGAAATCCCGTGACAAAGTGCTGTTTCTGTACTCAGTCTTCTCATAGACAGGTACCAAAGAAGGGTCCTACACAAAATGCCCTCATGATGTATAGTACAGACTAAATACCATTTATAAGAGCACAGGTTTCTATGCATAAACAACTGAGCACCCAAGACCATGAATTATGTTTCAAGAGGAACCAAAAGAGTAAGTGAGGGTAAATAATTTGTTTTCCATGTGTGTCAAAGGCTGCAGAGACCTAATGTACTCTCTGTGTTATGAAGTCCCTAGAAAATTAAATGAGATTCTGGTGTGAAATTGGAATGCAGATAATTCTATAGTTATCTAAGGACAAATTAAAGGTATAATTTGTAGCAACCTTAATTTAGCATCCACTTATTTTACAGCATTAGAGCATTTCAAATGCCTTATTTCTCACTAGTTAATTGTTTTGGAGTTTTAACAATCATTGAATGAGGGGCTTGTCTCACACTCTGTAAGAACAGAGGCATTGTGTGTTCATCCTTTTTCCTGCTGAGCATACTCACTGACCATTATTCACCTCTGTGCCAGCAACAGCAGCTTTATGGCTATACGGGAAGTATCTCCTTCTTTCTCCTCCCATAGTTGACTGTATCCAGATATGGGTCTGATGTGGGGACAGTCTCATAAGTGTTGCGTGCAAAGGCTTCAGATCTGGTCTTTTGTTACAAGATTCAAAAGTCACCATTAATTTCTTACATTTGCCTTTTGGATAGTGATGTTCTTCTTTTGCTCTCTGGGAGGATTCACCCTGCCCTATGTCAAGCCCAGGTGAAGTGCAGAACCCCAGGTAGATAGGGGTTCTTCCCTTTACTCACATAAAGGGACAGCTTGGAGGGGAGGGGGTTACATGTCTAAGGTCCCCAGAGCAGAAAGTGTGGAAGGAATACGTTGGCCGCTGGGCGCTGCCATTGGTAGAAAAGGATGAGAGCATGTCAAGAAGGCAAATCAGTGAAGAAGCTTCACACGTGGCTTCCTGAAATCAGTTGCTTTTGGCCCATATAAAGCCACACAACTTCTTGGAGGGCATCTCAAGGTCATGGAAGGGCATGAGGGCAGGGACTCCTTATAGGTACTATATGCTAAGGGTGGCCTTAAATTCTTTAAGTCTTGGCCCCTTGCATGCTTTGGGCATCCTGTGGTCACCTCAGTTTGCTAAGAGTACAGAAATGCAGGCATATTTGAAGAAAGTAGAAAAATGACTATCAGGGGCACTTCCTATTCATTCCAAGCCCTTGGGTCTTTGGGCAAAGATGTATATGAGCTCCAGACAACATCCTATTTAACATTCTAATTATATGGTAGAAGGTCATTTTGACAATGCATGTCCAAAGTTGTCAGTTGGCACCTCCACACTTTACAAACCACCACAATGAACAATATTCCAAGTCAAGAGATTTCTTTTGGTCCTTCATGTTACAAGAAATCTATACCAAATATCATGCAGACATAAATATGTTTGCAAGACCACCAGACTAATGATAATTCAACACAAAACAGCAGCTTCACTCTCTGATGCTATGAAAATCCATTAATTTAGCAGAAATTCCCTGGCTGATGCCTGGCAAAACTTGGTTCCTCAACTGGAGGTGAGAAGCCATATATATTCATGGAAACTTTTTTTCTGAAGTGTTTTGTGGATACTTTCATTCTGATTTTTAAACCAAATGGCATATTTTTGCCGAGTCCCTAAAATTATTCAATTCAATTATTTCAAATACATCCCAACTCCTTAAAATAGATTGCACATGCAAAAAGCAAGTCTGAACAATACAAAGGTTTGCATGTCAGAAACTGGCAGAACCTCCAGGCACTGCACAGAAAGGGGACAAGCAGCCATTCATCAATTTTCTGGTCACACGGAAGATGGATGATCTTGCATCATGAACACATTCCACTAAATAGCAAATAACAAGCTTTCTGGAATGCCACTCACAAGGTAGTTTAAAATATTTTGGTAATTTGAAAGCTTGTCATTGTGACATATTTCTCCTCCAAGGGAATTTTAGGAAAAGTATCACTAGGCATAAAGTATTCACAAAATCAATCAAAATGTGTATCAATTGTGCCAGAGCCTCTAAGAAATGTAGGGGGAAGAGATTAGCATCCCAGAACCTACTCTGTCAGTCCATCCCCTTGCTTCTCAGACATCATAATACCACTTCCGCTGAGGAGTCATACACTGCAAGAGGATTTTAGTACTTTTTGATGAAGAAAAATGATATGATTTATACAAAATGGGCCGGTTAAGATTGACTGACTTCAGTGGGCCCTATGGAAGCATGTTCTCTTGCTCTGTATGCGAGATTCTACTAGATAAATTACATACAAACACATGGGAATATGAGGAGTCCTTGGGCTTATTGATGATACCCTTCACAAAGATGAATTAAAATGTCCAGTGAAGTTAGTGACTTCAACAGCCTGTGGCCCCTAGCTCTGAGCAAGGGGCCTGTACACACAGATAGATACTGTTGAGGGAGAGTTAGAAAAACCACACAGTGCAGAAGCTTCCAAACAAAATAGGCTTTTGTACCCTGACTTATATAAGTGAATGACCAGGCCTTGACAGGACCTGTCCAACTCTGGCTGCATAACTCCTCCGGGACATTTTTCTCCAAGAGCTCTTAGGAGGACTAAGCTCACCTCCAACAACAATTGGTAAGATCCTGGTAAACGAGGAGGGATGAGGAAGGTGCCTGAGCATCTTTGTCTCATAGGAGCCTGCAAGGCTGAAATAAACATGAATGTGTACAACTGCCAATGCTGGAGCACCATGCAAAACATCCCTGCTTGTTTAAACTTAGTTTTCAATTATGGAAATCATTCAGATGATTAAGAACAAAATTAATGCTTTGCTGTTATTTAAATGCCAACTGCTCAGAATCCAAGACCAGTCCTCGGGGAAACTAAAGGAAGTCTGGTGATGTAGGAGACATGCCAACTGACTGGAGCCATCAAGCTTTTCCTCCTATATAAGCTCAAATTCACCAAGCGACAGCTGCATTTCCACTTCCCCTCTGCTGGAGGAAGCTCATCTTACTTTTTAAACTCAGTATACTTATTCACAGACCAGCAGGAGGTGCTTTGCTGATGTCCAGTGTGGACATAGAAGCCAAGAGGCAATACTTCACTCCTGCTCCCGATGCCCACACATCCTGTGTCCATGCCCTGTGGCCACATGGGTGACCTTCTAAGAAGATGTGGGGCAATCGGAAAGCAGAGGCCCTGAAGTTTGGTGGGAGGCCCAACCCCAGAGCCACACAGATCCCTCACCCTGCTGAGGATCTACCACACATGGGCACTGCCTCCAGAGTGTTCTGTGGGTGAGGGGGCAGGTCCCAGGGAGGAGGAGATCCTCACCCCACTAGACCCCTCCTTGGTTTGAAGAAGGCAGTGTTCAGCCTTCACCACACTGCTCTGGAAACTTCTGGGATGCCTGCTCATTACTGAACTCCTCAGGCCTCACTGCCGCCTAATTCAGGCATCCATCAGAGGGAAGAGTCCACCCAAGCCCCTGGCTATGGACACACACTGGGCTGCACTTCTCTCACCACTGTCCTTTCACTTGCTCTTAAAAAGTTGGGATGAATGCTGAGATGAGACAGCACTGGGTCTGAGTCAAGATTTCATTTTTCCTTTGCTACAGCAAATGTCTGCCATAGGACAAGTATTCCTTCTTCTAAAGTACATTTTTAAAAGAAAAAATGCTCACAATGTCAACATGATTGATTTCTGCCCCTGGACTTTTGGCACAGGCCTGGGCATCCTAAAGTGGCACAGGCCTTCCACCCTTGCCACTCTGGGGACTTTAGACATGTAACCCTCTCCTCTCCAAGTTGTCCCTTTATGTGAATAGTAACGAGGGGCAGAGCAGCAGCACTGAGGATAAGGGACCAAGGGGAAGAGTCAGCCCTGCCTGAGGGGAAACAGATCCTCCTCCCTGTGCTTGCACCCACCACAGCCAAAAGATGAGAAGCTCACTTGGATGGAAATCTTCCCATCACCAAGTGCCACATGCAGTTACATAGTTATGCAGCCATTACTTCATGCTGCCATTAACACTCATGTAATCTCATCTTACCAACAAGACCTCTCAAACCAGGGCTGGATGAATAACCCAAGTCACTAAGCAAGCAGGACACAAAGCTGGAATACCAAGCCAGAGCCACGCATCACAAACAGCCTCTCAGCCAGCACAGGACTCCCTGAGAACCTGGACCACCCCAGCCACTGGTAACACAGTCAAAGCTAAGCACGTGAGCATCTGTCAAGGCCAGAGAGAGACAACACTGTCCATGTTGGAGGTGCCCAGAATCTCTTCAACAGCTGCTTCAGTGAGGTGTCCAAAGCACATGCTGAGACAGAATCTGAGCCCTTTTACCACCTGTTTATCAGTTAACTTATTTCTTTAACCAAAGTGAATATAGCCAACATGATGTTCAAAGTCAATATAATCAGAATGGTTTCTTTTCACACTATCAAGGCATCCACTAAGGAAAGACACTAGAAAAGGACAGTGCCACCTACCGATTCCTCTTGGTTTTCACATTTTGCTCTTCCCTGCCATCTTCTGAACTGGATCCATCACTGCTGTCGGCTGAAAGAAAATGACATTAATAGGCTGGAGGGTCAGCACTCAGCGGCTTAGCAGAGCACCAGGGAGCTCTCACACCCAAGCAAGCTCATCTGGACACTTGGAAAACAGAATTCTCTTAAAAGTGTGGTATCAATTCCTACAGGTAGTTTTCTCCTGGCGCACATTCCTGTTTATTTCAGCAGAAGAGAAACACGATTTTGCTGCTCTGAAGAAAGGTAATTTCCAGTTGCTGTCCATTTGGAGGTTGTTAGACCTTCCAGGAAGGTTGGAGAGTTCAGGGTGGGGAAATACTGAACACCCCCGCCTACCAAGCTTGCCCACACTGTAAATGAACCACAGTCCTGTGCTGCCTCTGCGCTGACTGGCTAATGGAGTGGATTACTATCCACTGCTTCTGGCACCCCCTAAGGCTTTCTTTCATCCCTGGCAATGTATCCTCAGGCAACTCTGGTCCTGTGTCTACTTTTACAAGTGAAACTGGTTTGTAGACAAGTCCTGTGTTTATATCCTGAGTGGGTACCCCTCAATGTGCTTTTGAAATGAAAGCCTATAAAAGTACTTCCGCACTCCTTAACCATCTCCAAGAAGGAAAAGACAGTGACTAAGACATGGTGCGAGAGTATCATCAGTTCTGATCTAGCAGGCTAAAGGGCTTGCACATGTCCCTAATATCTCAAGAGCTGTCCCAACCCATTGCTTGTTGTGTGTCTATGTCCCTCAGGTCACTAGGCATGTCACAGTGAAAGGGAGCAGTGGGTTTTGTAGAATGTCCCTTTATGTCTTTGCTTTACCCACCTGGGTCACATGCTGCCATGGAGGTTACAAGGACAGTCCTGCTCAGTGTGAGGTCACAAGGAGACAGATGTGGCTCTGCAAAGATGACCATGCTGTTTCTTTTGAAAATTGACAGTTCTCCATTTAGCCTATGTTTGTAATCCTAATAGTGCCTCTCCTGTTGCTCTCAATGTGGGATATGAGGCTGTAGATAAGGTAAATCAAGTTCTAGAAGCTTCCAGCTCATGTTAGCCCAGCATGATTCTCTTAATACATGTAGCACCAGTGTAGGCAAAGCTGTACATGAATCTTCCAGCAAGCTCTTCATGAAAACAGGGACATTATAGGCAGCACCAGTCTTTTAAAGGTAGGGTGGGAAGGGTGGTAGGGCTTCAGCCATGGAGAGTGAGGCAGCCAGATCCCAAAGGAAGTTCCCAGGGCTCCTGGTTTCCAGGGTCCTCCTGGGCCCTATTGATATCTGGGTGGGTCACTCCTTGCCATGGACACTGTGCTGGGCCCTGGAGGATGTTTAGCAGCAACGCTACTTCTATCTCATAGAGATTGTCCTGCGGCAGCTCCCCCACCCAGAGTGACAACCAAAACGTCTTCAGAAACTGGCAGAAGTCCTATGTAGGGATAATCACTTCTTCCAGTTGATAATCACTAGTCCAGCAAAAAGATATTCTTGGTGTTTGAGGGGATGGGAAGGAAGCACTGAAAGTTTTTCCCTTTATCTCTTACTACAAGTGACCCCGTGCTGGTGAACCCCAAAAGATGTCCTTCAGCTCCTCTGCCCCTCAGGCCCACCCCTGCCTGGTCTGCACATCCCACAGCACCCAGCTCAGCACAAACTGAGCTCACCTGTGCACACACTGTCTCCTGGCTAAGCTCCCATCCACCGGCAGCCCTCCATGGGACACTCTCGGGACTCCCTCTCACCATCCCGCCTATTCCCCTTCACCTGGAGCACTGGGATGTTACATTTCCCTCTGCTCCTGTTTCTGCCCTGTTTAAAATCTCTCCCCTGGGTGCCTCCTGCCTGGTGTGTCCAGAGGTATGACATTCCAGCTTGGTCTTGAAGATCGGTTGGAATTTTTTGTCATTCACCTGTCTTCCACGCAGATGAGGTGGGAAATGACCAGAAATGCAGAGACAGCCCATGGGAGAGACAGATCACATCTCTCACTCCACACCAGTACACACTCAAGGAGAACAAGCAGGAAGCAGGAAAATTTCTTTAAATGTAAAAAATGAGGTCACACAATTACACAGATGTTATTTAAGATAAATGTGTATAATATTGCTCATTAATTATAGTTTTGTTTATTTTTAATAATTCCAATGTGTGCAGAGCCTTCTTTGTCAAGATACAAAATTCAAAACCCTAAAGGAAAATAATTTGTAAGAATGAATGACTTTGAAAATGCAAGACCAAAGGGCCTGCCTCACAAAATAGAGCTCTTGGGGTTGGTCCCTCCACAAATTTCACTGTGCTGGAACTGACTGACATCAACTACTCCAGAGCTTGGAACATGCTGGACACTTTGCCAAGGCAGCATTGGCAAAGGAGAGGCTGTTCTTCCCGGCTGACCGCAGAGATGATGGGACAGACACAACAGGGACCCAGCACAACGAGGACTATACACTTAATGAAAGTGGCATGGAAAGTCACCAACAAAAGGCCCCGGCCCTCAACAAACCTTTCAGTCTAATCAATAATTGCTGTGAAACAGCAAAAAAGATTTCGAGAGTCACCATGTTAAAATGGTCAGAAAACCAGAAAGTACAGTGAGCCCCTGATTTTGGAATGAGTTGCACACTGGGAGAATGCTCTCATAAGTCAGATTTGTTCATAATCTGACAAAGTGAGTCAGATTCGCATTTCACCTGTGAGTCATCCACAGTACACATGCGAAAATTCACAACTCAAATGTTTGTAGGTAGGAGACTTAACTCTATGGTTATTCATCTGATAAACAGAATTTAACAGAGACCATCCCTGAGAAAGCCTATACACAAAAGCTCAGAATGGATTTTAAGTAGATTAAAGGGCTACGACTGTAAAACTGTTAAAAGAAAATGAAGGAGAGAACCTGATGACATTGCATTTACAGTGATTTCTTCAACACAGCATGAGAAACACAGTCAATAAGAAAGAATACATTGGATTAAGTCAAAATGGAAAACTGTGCAACAAAAGACTAGTAACAGAGTGAAAAGCCCACTCACATAATGGGTAATATGTTTACAAATTATGTGTCCAACGAAGGACTAATATCCAGAATATATATGAAAAGTCCTACCATTCAACAGCATAAAAGAAACAACATAATGAAAAAGTGAGGAAGAGCTTGAAGAGTCATTTTTGTGAAGAAGAATACACAATGGGCAAGAAGCACTTGAAAAGGTGCTCAACATTATTAGTCATCAGGGAACTGCAAATTAAACACAAAATTCCATACAATTTCATGTCCATTCTGATGAAACAAGCAACAACAATAACAGGACAAAAGAAAACAACAAATGTCAGCAAGGATGTGAAGAAGGCAAATCACTCATGCAAAACTGGTGGGAATGTAAAATAGTGCAGCCACTGTAGAAAACTGGCTATTGCTCAAAAAGTTAATACTTACCATATAAGGCAGCAATTTTAAAGCAGGGCACCAAACTAATATTTGCATACTAATATCCATAGCATCCTAAGGCACAAGTGCCAAAGAGTGGACACAATTCTTGTTCATTGACAGATGAATGAATGAACAAAATGTGGAATATACACAAAATGGAATATTATTCAACCATGAAAAAGATTGGAATTCTAACACAGGCTACAACTTGAATAAAACTTGAAGATGCTATATTAATTAAAATAAGCCAAACATGAAAGGACGCTTCCTGATTCCATTTATATGGGGCATATAAGTGTATAAATGATTAGAGGTTTATAAGGGGATAGGGTAGGAAGGCATAGAGATTTACTGCTAAGCCCTATGGAGTTTCCTTGGGTGATGAAAAAGTGTTATAAATGGTAGTGATAGGCAACATTTTGAATGAATTCAATGTCACTGAATTTTCACCTAAAAACAGTTGAACAGTAAGCTTGATGTCATGTACATTTAATCACAATAAGAAAAATAATCAAAAGACTAGGAAAAATACTGGACATATATTATAGCCAAAACACATGGGTATGTTGATTTATGAGAGTCCATATAACTCAGTAAAAAAGCTGAAGTATTTCACAGGAACACAAAACAAATGGCCAACAAATGTGTGAAAAACTGTTTCATTATACTAAAACTTAAAAGAAATGCCACTAAGGCAAAGAATGTTTTTTAAAAAATTGTTTTGATGATCTAGAGTGCATTAGTGGGAGTGTCAATTGATCAATCCCTTTGGAAGATTTGGCAACATTTGTCAAAAATCGAAGATGCCTGTATATTTCATGTGACAACTTCAATAATGTTGAGTCACCTAACAGATGTACTTGTAAAAAGATGGAATTATTGAGCTTGTGGAGTTTGGATTAGCTAGTAAGAAGTCCTCCATGTTTCTGTGAGCCCAATGTCTTTCTTTCTGGGAGTGGAAGGGATCACACCTGCTATGTCAGTAAGAAAGGGTACACACAATCTCAGGTTAAAACTTGCTGAAGAATCACAGGAGGTGGATTGTAGTGGGCATGGCCAATATGAATTCATGGGAGATCCTTCCTATGGGCTGTGCCCCAGAGTCCTGAGGAGGATGTGAGGTAGAAGGTAGTAACTCTTTTCAGGAATGACATCACTTTAGAAAGGCAAAATTCAGGGCCTGGGGAAGTAGACGAGAATCCCCAGATCATTCTTTCAAGGAAGATGCTCCCACAGAGGTGGTGACCATGCTTAGCACCCAAGCATTCCCAGCCAGGCAGTGGAAAACTTGTCCCTCACTTTAGGGTCTCTGCCCAGGATTCTGGGGATTGCTCCCAGGACCTGAGCAAAATGCATTATGCAAATCAAGCAGAAGCTCTGGAGTTATCTGCAGAGATTGGCAGAAAAGACTTACAGTGAGTTAAGCAACTTCTATGCCAAAGAAATGTACACATCACTCAAGGAACAAGATATCAGAACATTTCTAACCCCTTTCAACCTAGCAAGGCATAGATTGTTCAACTGAGTACCAGCCTTATAGTGTTTTTTCTGGGTGGGAGGAGTCCTCCATAATCAGCGCTGCTTAGTCTTCTTTTTGGG